TTCATGGCTGTGGTGCCCCACGGCTCAGGGACTGGGGTTACTTCTTGCCATCATATCTGGGCACAGAATGAAACCAGAGCTGGGGGGCTGAGCTCTTCCCCATGGGACTCAGCCCACATCCTTCATCCTACAAAGGGTCCCGTGACCCCAGGATCTTCCCTGCTGGCTGATGCTCCAGATGTGCCCTGGGGCCAGGGCTCTGGGTGGTGGGGAGTGGAGGCAGCAGGTGGGATGCTGCTAGGGGCATGACCAGGGGAGACACGGTGGTGCCCAAGCCTTATCCTCTACACTGGTGCAGAGCCCCGGCCAGGTTTTGTGCTGGTGCGCAATGCTGTATGGTGCAGCCCGCTGGGCGTGAGGCAGATGGCTGGGATTTTGGGGATGCGAGCTGAGCCCCCTTCCCATTGTCATGCATGCCCTGGACCAGTTTTTCTCCTGGGCGTAGCTGCAGGGTGCTGGGAGGGGAGAGGGCAGAGGGTTGCCCTGCCAGGGCTGTGAGCCTGGCAGCAGGGGTAGGACCAGGCTGGGCTCAGCGCTTCCCCCAGCTGCCTTGATACAGCTGGAGCAGATAGAGCCAGAGCAGAGCTGCGTCTGGGGCTGAGCCCTGGGCAAACCCAACCCACGCTGGGATGGCACAGCCTGCCAGGCTGGAGCTGCTCTGACCTTCAGGGACAAAATCTGACCTTGCTGGGAGCTGCAAATGCTTTGCAAACGGGGACCTGGGAGCCTGCTGCTTTGGGGACAGCTGCTTCGGCTAAGGCATCCTGTCCCCGCTTCCCTTGGTCTTTTTTGGGGGATTTTATTCAACTTCTGAGGTGACAAGCAATGGATGGCCATATGAGTGACAGCGTGGCCCGGGGGGGGTGGGCCCAGAAGTGGTGGGGAATAGCAGGATTTGGCTTTTGGCATCGGAGCCCAGGGGACGCATGGGGATGAGGACAGGGTGGGCAGTCAGGTGTGGGGCAGAGCAGCTGTGGGATGAGGGCCTGGCTGATGGTGAAGGTGTCACGGCCCCTTCCTTGCTTGCTACCCCGGTACTGCTCTTGGGGTGGGGGCCACCAGACCCCCATGTCCCCGCCTGGCCGGAGGGTCCAGGGAAGGTGGGATGTGGTGCTGGGGCTTTACTGTGAACCGCGTCGTGCCCCATCCTGACCCTGCTTTCGAGATGTTTCTCCCAGCCGTGGGATGGTGCCCAGCCCATAGTCTAATTAAAGCCTTTCCCAGCTATTTTCTCCCTTGGTGCCACGTGCTTTCATTTATATTTGTTTATTCCCTTTTCCTTTCTATTCCCCTGTGCTATTTATCCCAACCCCCACCCTGGCTCTTGCCCTGTTTCCTGGGACCGGCCAGTACCCATCGCTGCAATCGGACACGAGGGCTGGGCGACGGCCCGGCTCCAGGCAATGTCTCGGTCCCTCTGGCATTGACGCTGCCCCTGGACACGCTGCTTTTTCCTTTCTCCCTCCACGGGAAGGGATTCCCTCCCTCTCTCTCCCTTTTCCCCTGTTTGGGAGGTGTTGCAGAGTCAAACGCTCTCGGTTCCTGGCTATACCAACTGGGTGAAGGAGCTCTGAGTCTCCGGGAGAAATTGTGGACCTCATCCTTTCCTGCACCGAGTGCCCAGAGAGGACCTTGCTGTGCAGTCCTGGGGCATCTTCAGGCCAAGGGGGGGCTTTGGGGCTCGGCTGCCTTCTTGGGATGCTGCCGGCGGGGATTCGGGAGTGGAAAATCAGCGGCAAGGAGGGGGCCCTGACTTGGTAGGACATGTGCTGGGTCTTATTGCCCCCCTCTGCTTTATGGCCCCCCTCGCCGGGGTCAGCAGCACGGGAGCTGCTGGGGCACGGGTGCAGCAGCGTGGGACTGGTTAAGCCGTCCCCGGCTCGGAGCTGGCTTTCGGAAGTGTTTTGCTCGCAGATAGGAGCGCTCTGATTTCACACTATCGTGTTAGGGCCGTCTTCCGTCCCTGAGTCAGCTGCCTGGCCCCCCGCCAGGGAAGAGTCATTTTTTCCTCCAAAAGAAAGTGTTTAACGCTGCTCACGGGCCCTTCCAGGAAACCTCGTCGGGGAGCTGGAAAAACAGGAGTCTGCAGCCCAGCCGGTGCTGCGCATGCTCTGGCGGGGGGGACACGGCTTGGGGGCCGTCCCCATTGCCGTCTCGGTGGCTGGGGTCCCCCTGTGCCCCAAAAATCTGGCTGCCCCATTTGGAAAGGTTTAAAGGGTGCAGCTTGTTGTGGTGTTGGGGCTGCTGGGGGTGGTGGGAGCTGGGGGGCTTGCAGCTGGGGTGCAAGGTTGCCGGCGGTGGTGCTGCTGTGCTCTGGCTGCCCCCCAGCCTTTCGGGGCTGTGGGGTGCTCGGTGCCTCCCCGGGGAGGAGATGCTGCATGTTTGGGGTTGGGCAGAGGCACTGCCTGTGTGGGAGCTTTGGGGCAGCGTCCAGCAGTGAGGAGAGGTCTGGGGCAGATCCACCCGGGCTGAGAGAGGGAAGGTGATGGAGAGAAAGGGTGGGAGCCTGTCTGTAGCCAGGGAAGAAAATGTCAAGGATGGGCAGCTGGCTGGATCCGTGCATCATCTGGGAGGAGAGCGGGCAGGGAGGGGGAAGGTGGGTCTGTGGTTCATCTGTCCTTCACCCGTGGGCTGAGTACATCCATCCAGCTGGAGACATGCAGAGCTACAAGGCCAGATCCTGACCGCCTCCGCCTGTCCTGCTACGGCCCGTGGTGCATCTCCCCCACCCTCCCTGTTCGCGTCCCTGGTGCCGCGTGGCACTTCAGGGCCGGCTGAGCCTTGCGGAGCAGCGGGGTGGTGGTGAAGTGACGGCCAACTGTGTGGGCAGCCCTGGCCTTCACCAGCCGTGGAGGGGAATTGCCAGGAACGATGCCTGGAGCCAGGGGGGGATTTTGGTGGATCCCAGCGGAGCAGGTGGTGCTGGCAGGGCAGGGCAGGATGGCGTGTGGAGTGGGGGGGCCGCGGGGGCACGGGGCTGGGGAGGGTCTGGCTCCGGTGTCTCTGCATGGTGGCGCCCGTGGGATTGCGGAGGGTGCCGGGGG